CCTCAAGTGATCCTCCCACCTTAGCCTCCTGAGTAGCTGGTGCATGCCACCACACCCAGCCAATTTTTAAAAACTTTTTTGTAGAGACAGGGTTTTTTTTTGTTGCCTAGGCTGGTCTCAAACTCCTGGCCTCAAGCAGTCCTCCTGTCTCCGCCTCCCAAAGTGCTGTGATTACAGGTGTCAGTGACTGTGCTCAGCCCGGAGTTTTTTTTTTAGAAGAAGCTCAACGACTATCACTTAGTAAATGTCAATCATCACATGTAAGCTCATTCAGTTCTCACAGTTACCCTATAAGGTCAATGTGATTATTAGCCCATTTACAGACGGGGAGACTAAGGCTCAGAAAGCCCACGTGACTTGCTCACAGCCATCCACTGGTCAGCAGGGCAGGTCAGCCCTCTCTTCTGTGCTGCCCCCAGGGAGAGTCAAGCCCAGCAGCTCATGTCAGCGACTCAGGGGATACACAGCGAGCAGGCCATAGGGCGGGGGCGAACTGCCCCCGGTGTCTCTCGACAGCCCCAAGCCTGTGGCTGTGGGTCCCAGAGGCAAGGCCTGCTCAGGGTCAGAGAAGGAAGCTTCTGGCTCAGTCACCAGCCTTCCCCCAGATGCTCACCTTCTGCTGCAAGTGGGGGTCAAATGGGGGGTGTGGGAACTGAGACAGTCAGCATCCGGGAGCCCCCAAAATGCCCTCACACTCTACACACAGATTCCCACCAAAAACTTACGTCTGTTTCTGAAGACTCCGCCCTCATCGCTAAGCAAGCAGCGGACACCATAGTGGTTGAGGCCCGTGGCATGGACAGGAGGTTAAAGCAAGCCCTGATTTCTACTGGGAAGCTCAAGAGTCAGCTCAGCCGGGTTTCCAAGGCCAGGAGCACGGAAAATGAGCCGCTCCAGGCGGGCGGTCCGTGGGGCGAGGCGGATGTCTAGACACTGTGGGTCTGTTTGCTCTGCGATTCCTCTTGGAGACGATGACATCCGCAAGGGTTTACCTTTGGTCGCAGGAGACTGGCTTGCAGGCTCCGTTCCCCGTTCCGCCGACTTCTCTAGCCGAGTTAATCCCCAGGCACTGACAGCCAGAACAGCTGGCCAAGCCGGTGAAGCACACTTGGGAGAGGGCAATTGTTTTAACTTATATTAACTTCCTGGGAAATCACTGTGAGGAGATAGATATCAGTACTTCTCTCTATCCAGTCATGAGTGGAAATGATGGAGGGGAATGGAGGAGAGCTTCCCAAACATCTCTACACAAAGACTGTGGGTCAGCGCTGTCTTTCTGCCCGCCTCCTTTAGATCTGCTTAATCAGACACCTTTGCTCACTTTCTTTTTCAAATTATTCTTTGACCTGGGAAGCTGGAACAAGATAATCAGCAGTTTATTTCTCTAGAAGGCCTGCTTTTTCTAACTTGAGGTTTTTCTTTATTAGACTGTGTCTGGCCAAGGGGAAGCCAGGAACCTTTAAGATTTGGCTGGTGAGATTAGATCCAGAGACCAACGGATTAGTCTTTTCTGTGCAGGGAAGCCCAGGAACTGGGGGATGGGGGCTCACAGCTGGGAGGCCCCATTGTTTCTGTCCTTCCTGCATTCACCTGAGAGAGATGGTAGCAGAACTGTGACTCTGTCCCCAGCCCATCTCCCCACAGAGTCTGCGTTCTCCTAGGACCGGAGCCCAAGGAGGGTGGCACACTGGGCTGAGCCTGGGGGCAGGTAAGCCACTGCGGAGACTGCCAGCCTGGAAAGGTTAGGTCAAGATCGTCGCAGTGGGCGACTGTCTCAGTCTGCCATTCCCAGTTGCCCTGTGTGTCCCTGGGACACGCAGACCAGTTCTGACGAGGCTGGTACTGCCAGGGAAGTGGGGAGCAGGTGAACTGCCAGCTGGGGCACCTTGTCAACCCACAGGCTGCTGTGCTCAGGCTGAGAGGCACGGCTGACCCGGCACTCCTAGAGAGTGGTGGAGGTGCCAGACTGTGGGCAGCAGGAGGACAGACAGGGAGGGGTCAGCAAGGCCAGAGGATTAGGACAGAGCTTCCTGGCAGAGAGCCACACTTGGTTAGCCAGGAACAAGCCTTTGACTGGGGAGGCGGTAGTCTCAGGGACGGCCTCGGTTGTAGGGAGGGTGTTACACAGCCATCCACTTGTGACAGCAGAGCGTGGTCCAGCCACTGGGGGACACGGCGCAGAAAGCCCGCATGGAGAGGAACAGCGAGTGCTGACAGCGGTTAGTGGTGATCACCTTGGAGACACCCCTTGTGTCTTCTAGATGTCGAACTTTCCAGTTCAGTTTACTGTCCTCCACATATGCACGTTGGCAAGAGCAGTGGAGAGAGGATCGGACTCGATGAAATGCACGGAGAGTCCCGGGTCTGTCCCTACCCACCTGTGTTCTCAAGAAACCCCTTTGCCCCTCAGAGCCCTCGCCGCTTTCTGACTCCATCCTGAGTTGCCCTGCGCCATGCTGAGACTTTCTGCTTGGATCTGCCCCTCCCTCCCCAGCCCCTCAGCCCTCCGTTTCTCCTCGTGCCGTTCTCCGCATGCAGCCCCCAGCACACACACATAGACATACACCTGGCCACAGACAAGTAGGTTCACATTTGAGGAGTTGGTTTTCTTTCGTCCCCAGTGAAATCCTGGTGAGGCCACTTAAGCCATTAGGCTCTTTTGAGGTTTCTTGGGGTGGAATTAGAAGCCAACATTATGGAAGAAAAGTCTTTGGCTGGCTGGGCGGGAGGCTTCCAGCTGGGGCGTGTGCAGCACCCACTTGCATGGGGTGCCAGACATGAGGGCTCTGAGGATAAGACTGTTCCTCCAACTGGGCTTCTCCAGCTCCGCGCAGTTTCACACAGACGCTTTCAGAAAGAGACTAAGTTTGGGGGACTTGACCTAATCCCACCTCCCCAACCCCAGCTACGGAGCCCTGGCGTTTATCAGAGAAGGCCTGGGATCCCATGCAGGGGTGTCCCCTGGTCCTATGGGTCAAAGGCTTGGAGCTCTCCCTGGATTTAGCTGGAAGAAGTTGGCACCATTCTTCTTTCAAAAAGTGCATCTCTGCTCCCTAGAAAAAAGCCTTTTGACTATAATTAGGAGTACGAGATTGGAAGGAATTTTAGAAATCGTCTAGTTTAACTTCACCTCATTTTATAGATCAGGAAACTGAGTCCAGAGAGAGAGAAATGGACTTTCGAGGTCACCCGGCTGGGTACCGTGGATCACAAGGCAAGTCTCTTCCTCCTGGTACAGTTCTTCTTATACCAGGATGCCTTCGGAAATGTGTCAATCAAATCTTGCTTCAGTTGCAGAGGATGACTCTAGTTTCTAAAGATAAAACTGTGGGTCGGTGAATGTCAGTCCTGAGACCACAGCTTGTGTAGCCATTATAAACAGGATGGCAGGTTAGACAGGGACGGGGTGGGAGGAGGGCTGGAGAAGAGCGGGGAGCGGAAGGCAGGAGGATGGAGCGACCAGGGCAAAGAAGAAGGTGCACAGCTTGTCACTCCCCAGTCGTTTCCTGGGGGGCCCAATTCTAGCAAAGCGACAACCACAGCTCCCTGGCCGCCTGACATCCAGCTGATCGATCTCTGAAACAGCCCCTGGATAACACGCGAGCCAGGCTGCAGCTTCACTCGACTGACTAAGTCTTCCCTGAGCCGACTCCAGCTGAATTAACCAGGGCAGAATGTCCCGGGCAGACTGAGCGCACCCTCCAGAGCCTGGAGCCCCAGCCGGAGCCCCAGCCCTTATTCCTCCCCCGTCTGCCCGCCTCGCTTCTGGTAGCGTCGTTAAACATCCTGGAGAGCCCGGCAGTGAGCAGTTCTGCGGTAAAACCCACTGCGATTAGAACCGAGTCCCCTCCCATCCCAGAGGGCACATTGTGCACAAGAAAGGAAGGGGAGGATGTGGCTGTTTGCATTTGGCCCAGGCCGGCCAAGGAGAGGCCACGCTCACGCTGCCAGTGCGGGCTGGCCTTCCACAGAACTTGGGGATTTGATTTTAAGCGAGTCTTTTTTAGGTGTAGGCTTCCTTCCTTGCAATGCCATCTGAAAGTCCCAGTCTTTTGGGCTTCCCCAGAATACCGGGTTAGCTGACACTGTATTCCAGACTTCTGCACAGTGGTCGATGTCCCGTGATGGACTGGTCTCAGGAGCAGAGAAAGTTTGTAGTTTTCCGGAGCAAATGATTTCAAAGGCTAAAACTGCGCACTGCTGGCCTGATGTTCATCCAAATATAAAGAATCTTGCAAATTGGCGATATCGGCTCACTCCCGGAATGACCGTGGGATGGTTGAAGGATGAGGGTGGGTAGGGAGCACTTTACTGTATAATCCTTTGTATATTTGCAGTTTGAGCCCAGGAAAATGTTTTTACTTTTTTAATTTAAAGAAATAAAAAACCAAGCATATTCATAAGAGGAGCTTTGTTTTTATTTTAATGTTTAAAGTTTGATTGTGAAGACTGGGAAAAACTTGATGGTCATATAAATGCTACCCTTTTTGGTTATGAAATCGGAAAGCTGGAAGGCCACGAGAGATTGAATCCGATGGGAAACTGAGGCCCAGAGAGGCGACAGGGCTGGCTGGGAATGTCCCAGCTAGTAGGTGGCAGAGTCAGAACCAAGACTGGTGCAGGGCTCTTTCTGCTCCTCCCTGCTGCATTTCAGGAATGCTAACCATTGGGTTTCCCGTGTGCAGTGTTGGAGAGAAATTCTTGGTGAGCGATGTCTGTTAATCACACCATTGAATATGCTGCCAGAGGCCTTTGTTTTCCCGGTTGGTTTGCTGTAGGTGTTGGTAACCATCAGGAACATTCTACAAAGCTGAGGAGGGGTGAGAAGCTCCTTGCTGATGAAAGGCACAGATATGATGTAGCAGATGATCTCCCGAGAGGAGGATGTCTCACCCACTATTCCCCTTGCTTGGCCGGGGCGGTGATTCTTCCTAGAGAGGCCCCACAGGGTGTGAGGAGTGGCGCCTGCCTAATACCCACGCGTGTTGGTCTCGTTACAGAGTTATCAGCTACGAGTGCTGTCCTGGATATGAAAAGGTCCCCGGAGAGAAGGGCTGTCCAGCAGGTGAATAAGCCAGGCCGTGCGTGCTGGTGTGGGCGGAGGGGAGAGGTGTGGGAGAGGGGCAGGTGAGGCAGCGGCGTGTGGCAGGAGTCAGTGGCGTGAGGATGTGCTGGCGTTCTCCCTGTGTGCGCGCTGACCGCCTCTGTCCGCTGTTTTTTCAGTTAAGAATGTGAGACTCAGACTTAAAAGGGATGGGGGCGATTTGGTTGGCGCCAAGGTGACGGGGAGGGTGTGGTCGGCCCGGGCAGGGCTGTGGCCGTACCAACTCCAGGGCAAGGACACGCAGGGGAACTGGAGCGGGCAAGGAGACTGAGCTCGGAAGAGGAGCCAACCTCTGCATCCCAGTTCCAGACCCTTCGAAATGAACGTTCAACTCCCCGTCTGAGAAAGCCCTTCTAAACCTCAGGCTACTTTTAAGAAATAACATTCTATTAACTGCAAATATTCACAGTACTTTGGAGATTTATAAAGTTCTTTATTCCAGTAGAGGCCATCAGGGAACCAGTTTCAATAACTAGATAAATCTGTAAGACTAGTTTGTGATCAGAGTATCTATTTCTGGACGTATATTCCTGCCTATATTATCTAAATATCTAGGAACAATAGCTTCGCGCTGCTGTGTTTGGAATGATAAAAACTCCCAATTAGTCGAGTTCACGTAGAGAGGCATGTGACTCGCTGAGTCATTTTAAGAAGCACGTAGCGAGCTTTCAGCTCCCCAGCGAGGGACCGTCTCTGGGCTTTCCACACACTTCCCTCCGCACCTGCGGACGCACCACCGCTCTGGCAGACAAGGGCTGGGGTGGCCTGGCTGGGCCGGCCCCCAGAGGCCCACCCCTCCCCCTGTCCTCTGCCCCTGCAGCCCTGCCACTCTCAAACCTTTACGAGACCCTGGGCGTCGTTGGATCGACCACCACCCAGCTGTACACGGACCGCACGGAGAAGCTGAGGCCCGAGATGGAGGGCCCCGGCAGCTTCACCATCTTCGCCCCCAGCAACGAGGCCTGGGCCTCCCTGCCTGCTGTGAGATGACCTCCTTCTGCCCGGGGGACTCTTGCTGGGGACGGCCTTACCTCCCTGAGGGGTGGGCATGAAGAACGGGATTCTGGAATCATTTCCTGCTGTTGCAGGAAGCTGTTCCCTTAAGCCCTCAAATGAAACTTGGGTTAAAATGTACCTCACCAGATGGGACAGATGCCCCCTCCGCCGCCTTGGACAGGCCAACCTGGGTGCTCCCTGGGGAGGGATCCGCGGCAGAAGGGAGGCCTGGGTTCCCAGGGGCTGAGGAGCACACTTCCCAGGGTGGTCAGGACCACCTCTCGAACACGGGGTCTGCAGCTCCTAACTGTCGCTCTGTCCTTCTTTTAGGAAGTGCTGGACTCCCTGGTCAGCAACGTCAACATCGAGCTGCTCAACGCCCTTCGCTACCACATGGTGGGCCGGCGGGTCCTGACGGACGAGCTGAAGCACGGCATGGCCCTCACCTCCATGTACCAGAACTCCAACATCCAGATCCACCACTATCCCAACGGGGTAGGGGCGCCCGGCCGCGCAGGACGGCCCTCTGTCCACGATGAGCCCGGGGCTGGCCCTGCGGGGCTGGTTTCCGGGGTTCCAGCCTGCAGTGGTGGTAGGCTGTAGATGGCCCTGCCTCCCGCGCCTGCCCCTCCCCAGCCCGCTAGTTCCACAGAGATGGTGCCTCTGTCGTGTTAATGGCGCGGCCTTGCCGCTTCTCCGTGCAGATCGTCACCGTCAACTGTGCCCGGCTGCTGAAAGCCGACCACCACGCAACCAATGGAGTGGTGCACCTCATCGACAAGGTCATCTCCACCGTCACCAACAACATCCAGCAGATCATCGAGATTGAGGACACCTTCGAGACCCTGCGGGTGAGAGCCTGCCCCGGGTGGAAGCCCTGGTGGGGACACACCACCTCCCAGAGGGGCCTGGCGGGGCGTCTTCTGCAGGAGGAGCAGAGGGTAGCTCACGTAGGGAACCTCAGAGCAAGTTCCCCTGAATGCCCATGACCATGGAGAGTCCCCGCACCAGACACTCTGCTTGGCCTAAACTGTGCAACCCCCTGTCTGCCTTCTCCTTGGTGACGCGTCTTTCCCTGGCTCCCCGGGAAAGGTCGCTGGTTTGTGGCTGCAACAGCACAGGTCCTCTAAGCCCCGGGCCGCCTGGGCCTGCCCCACATGTGCCAGGGGTGGGAGGGCCCTTCCTCTGAGGGGGCAGCTCCCATGACGGGGACTAGAATAAATGCCCGTCAGGCCGCACGGTGCTTCTGGACCACACTTGCCACCCGGGGACCCCTGCTCCAGCCATTGCCTGTTTCCTTGGAGTCCAGACCAGCAGAGAGGCCACCAGTGTGGATACCAGAGCCTGGCCTGGCTTCTGCGTGCTCTGGGGCCACAAGAATGCTGTCCCTTCTCCCCAGCCTGGCAGGCGTTAGTCTCACAACTGGAGGGGCAAGTGGGCGTCCTCTGGGCAGCGGCTGCTCAGGAGGAAGTGGGTGCAGGCTGCCTGGTCAGGGCTTTTGCTCTGATTCAAGAACTTCCTAACCACAAAGGACACAAGCGGGAGTGGGGCAGGCCCTCCCTGGAGATCTCCAACACAGAGACAAACACGCTCGGGCCAGCTGGCATCGCTGAGCCCCGGCGAGCGGGGACTGCTCTTCGCCGGCGCTGGGGGCCCTGGGAGCCTGGCTCTCCAAGCTCTTCTCCCCTGATTTTCTGGGTCACTCGGAGGGCAGAGGTCTGCAAGGGAATGATGTTCCCCCAAAGTTGGTGGCACATATTTTACTATTAATAGTTAGGCTTGGCAAATGTCCCTTCCTTCCTCCTGGACTCTCCCTCACGTCCATCTTCTCTTCTCACACATGCTGCTTAAGCACCTGCTACTTGCCAGGAGTTCTCGTGCCGGGGGTACGGAGGGGACTGAGGCAGACAAATGTCTATCCTCAGTGGAGCCAATATTCTATCTGGGGAGACAGACAAGAAACAAATCAACCAGGTAGCCACAGACTGTGGTAAGCAGTGTGGAGTGAGAAGTAAACGGTGAGCAGCAGTCGTGGGGGACGCCAGGCAGGACTGCAGGGCCAGGCAGGTCTCTGGGAAGGTGGCTTCTGAGCTGGGGCCTGCCGGGTGAGGGTGGGCCAGTGGTACAAACACTGGACAGGAGCACACCCAGCGGACGGGAGGGAGGGCGAGAATGAAGGCTCAGAGCAGGACCGGCAAGGAGGCGGCCGGAGTGAGGGTGAAGAGCACGCGACAGGCACGGGGAGGGCAGGGGGGCCAGGCCACGTCCTGCAGGGCCTTGCAGGCTGGGCAGACCAGGGGGAGGCTATCTCCAGCCCCAGAGCAGCAGGAGGCCACGGAGGCTTTTAGAAGCTCCTTCAGGCTGCCGTGCAGAGGATGGGTGACGTGATCCTTAGATACACGGAGCTGGCGTAAGTGATCACCCATCGCTACTGAATCGCGGCGTGACAAGGGCCGCAGGCTGCGAGAGTAGGCGCAGCGGACAGACTCACCTTCATCTGGGGGCAGGATGGGGTGGGAGATGTGCCACGTTGACCTCCCAGAGAAATGACAATTTAGTGGAAGAAGGAATGGAGTCAGAGAAGCTAAGAGAGGGGGAAGGGCAGGGAACAGCAGGGGCAGAGGCGTGGAGGGAAGGGGCACGGGCCTGTTGGTGCCTGCAAGAGGGCCCTGTGGCCCAAGCTGAGACCAGGCAGGGCCCCGAGGCTGTGGCGAGAGTGGGCTTTGGTTCCGTTCTCTGTTCATCCTGGGCTCCCGTGAAAGCCCCGAGCCCTGCAGGGAGGACGGTGAGGCTGTGCGCGCAGCTCGCTGCGGATAAGCCCGAGCCTTCAGGGAGCACGCCGTCCTCCCCGCCCGCAGGCTGCCGTGGCCGCGTCAGGGCTCAACACCGTGCTCGAGGGTGACGGCCAGTTCACGCTCTTGGCCCCTACCAATGAAGCCTTTGAGAAGATCCCTGCTGAGACCCTGAACCGGATCCTGGGCGACCCAGAGGCCCTCAGAGGTGAGCACCCTTCGGCCCCTGCTGCTGCCGCGTGGAGCGGCCAGACGGAGCCTAAGTCCTGCTCTAGTCCGAGGTGGACATGCCACCTGCCATGAGGCAACTCTCAGGATGTCCGCCGTGGCTGTAGCTTAGAACTGTCCCGTCCACTTGCTCCCTGCCAGCCATGTCTTTACAGACGCCAGAGCAGAGCCCCACCCTGGCTCCAGGGGGACAAGTGCAAGTACAGAACCCAGGAGCCTTTGTCTGGGGACACAGCTGGGCTGAGAAGGGAGGCGGAGCTGGAGGTCCATGGCCGCTGGGCCAGACGCAGCCGAAAGGCTCCAAGGGCCCAGGTGCAGCAGCAGCTTGCAGGTGTGGGCGGGGACTGCAGGGCCGACCCTTAACTCTTGCTGTGTGTGGCTCCTCAGGGATGAGCCAAAATTACAGGTAAAACCAGTAATAGTCAACTCTCGACTCCACTGGTGGTTCCCTCCTCCCCTCCTGAGGGAGCTGCTGGTCGGGCGGTGCCCCCTCTGCGGCAGGACCCCTGACGGGCCACGAGCATAGCGCTGCCTGCTGGTCCCAGAGTCCCCTGAAAAGGACAGTAGGCCCAGGCCCCCCGTGTACCCCAACCACACCGTCCTTCCCCATACACTCCGGGACGGCTCCATTTCTTCTGAGTCCATTTAGACCCACCTTTGCCATGTGCTATGTACAATGGCAAATGCATTTCAGGCGCTCTGTCAATTTAAAATGCCCTCCCTGTGGCCACACAGGGATGGCAAAGGGCAGATTTCCGAAAGCCCAGATGGGGTCTGTTCTGTGTCCCGGTGACTGTGGGTGGTTACGCTGCCCTTCTCTGAGAAGCAAACTCCCCAAGGCCTCATTCCCACGGGGCCTTGCCACCCTTTCTCTTCCCCCCCCCGGCCGAGTGTGGTCAGCGGCGCTGTCACGGCCGCCGACGGGCCTGCAGCAGCCTGATGCCTCTGCAGGCCTGAGCTTCCCCCCGCCCGTGACAGTCAGTGTGGTTTCGGTTCCCATGCTCAGGGACAGACTGAAACTCACCTGTCTGGTGAAAATGCGAGACAAAGAGCCTTGGGGACGTTGGTGAGCAGCTGTCCAGGAACCTGCTTGGCTTGGGGTGGGGCACATCCTCCTGGACTGGTCGTTGCAGCCGCTCCCGTGCCGCCCGCCTGACGGAGGCAGCGAGAGCATGACCCTGTCAGGACTCCCCTCAGGCCCCCAGCCCTGCCCTGCCCCTAAAATAGTATTCAAATGAGCAAATACACAATTCTATTCACTATTTATGGGTCTGGTGATTGGAATGGCCAAGGCTATGTCGTACTGATCACCATTCCAAGCCCTAAGACAGATCCCGGAAACCTGTCGACACTTGGGTAAAATGAACGCAAACCTGGACAAATAAAATGTACAAATAATTCAAAACCACCATTTGCTACAATTTCCATCTTTTCCTACCACATTGTACGTTTTTATACATCAGTAGACTTAAAAAATCCCATGGCAGGCTCTCTGGAGTTTTCCTTTACCCCTGGAATTCAGCTACATTGTAACAGGCTACCTGCTAGCTTTGCTGTCCGGCTCTGCACGTGCCAAGGGCTTCCCTTTCAGGATCTCACGAATCCCTACACCCACCCTAGGAGATGATGCTGTCCTTATCTCCCCCGACTGACAAGGGAAGTTGAGAACCAAAGAGGCCAAATGACTTACCCAGGGTCCCACAGCTGGAGGTGGCCATGGGACTCCAACCCAGGCTGACTGACCACAGAGCCCCAGCTAGTTTTTGAGGGCAGCAGGCGGGAGGACAGAAGGATCTGGGTCCTGTGGTGCCCTGGCTTCTTCTGAAGGTCCACATCCAAGAGAATAGAATCCCAGGGCAGACCCTGACCTGTGTCCGTTTGGCCCCCAGACCTCCTGAACAACCACATCCTGAAGTCGGCCATGTGTGCCGAAGCCATCGTCGCAGGGCTGTCCATGGAGACCCTGGAGGGCACCACACTGGAGGTGGGCTGCAGTGGGGACATGCTCACCATCAACGGGAAGGCCATCATCTCCAACAAAGACATCCTGGCCACCAACGGGGTCATCCACTTCATCGACGAGCTGCTCATCCCAGACTCAGGTAGGCCAGGCCTCAGGGGACCTTCTGCCATCCCTGGTGGCAGTGTTAGGGAGATCTTTGGGGCTGTTTCCCTGCCTGGACCTGGCTCAGAGCCTCTCAGCCACCACAGCTAGGTGGGTTGTGGCCAGATTGTGAACAGTCCTGAACTTCAGGCGTGGGCGTCCACACCTGGTCTTGGAGGCAGTGGGGAGCCATTGAAGGTTTCTGGGGAGGGAGATGCAATCTCAGAGGCCTTTCAGAAGGTCTGCCTGCTCTGGTTGTGCACAGAGGGCCGTTTGCTGACCTCAGAATATTTGCTTTCTCAGTAGTGCCCAAGCCGTACCAGGGCCACTGACCCAGGGTGAATGACTGAATGGACTTTGACTTGTGTTTCATTCGGCATCCTAGCCCCATTCTGGAATTCTGCCCCTGAGTGCAAGGATGTCACAGGAAAAAAGCACAATACTTTTTCTATGGGTGCGGCCACTGGCCCTACCTACTCTTCAGAAACCGTAACAGACAACGCTGCCTTCCTCCCCAGCGGGAGACAGTGTTCTGGCCACACCTGCCCGGGGGCCTGGGACAGAGGCTGACCTCTGCCCAGCTGACGCGAACCTCGACCGGGCAGATTTTCTGGGCCACCGTTCCCCTGATGACACAAACCCGCTGGGCCCCCACGGTGTTCAGAGGGATTGTTGACTCACGAGATGACATTCCTGCTGCTGTATGTCATGCCGGGTAGATGAGTGATAAACGAAAACACACGTTTAACTTTTGAACCCACTTTCTCCTTCCTCGTAGCCAAGACGCTGTTTGAGTTGGCTGCAGAGTCTGACGTTTCCACAGCCATTGACCTTTTTAGACAAGCTGGCCTTGGCACTCATCTCTCCGGCAGCGAGCGGGTGACCCTCCTGGCTCCCCTGAATTCTGTATTCAAAGGTAACATGGGGAAAGCTTCCCCACCTGTCACCTGCACAGCACTGTCCCTGAGTTACAGCACCCCATGGACCTTAGAGCTTCCACCCAGCTTGGCCGAAGCAGATGTGACATCAGTAGGAACTTCAGGGGCTGTGTTGTTTCGTTAGGCAGAGCGGAGAATGCATTTGGGGTCTGCCCCTCGGAACGCAAGGCTCTGTGCCTGCAGGCGAGCAGCGGCCCATTCCCTCGCCTTTTCGTTCGCAGGGTCAGTTGCCAGTGTGTAGCCAGGAGGTCAGGGCGAGGATACAGCTGTGCTGCAGCCACGGGGAGGGCAGAGGAGGAGGCCACGTCGAGTGCAGTGCCTGCCCTTCCCTCCTAGGGCAAAACCCCAAACACCCTTGAATTTCTGGATTTTTTTCCCTCTCCGCAGAGGATGCCAGATGTTAAGGAATATTGGCAGCCTCACTTGACTTCTCAGTCTCCATTTCCAGACGCTAGGAGGGACGGGCTTTTCACTGTATCTGTCTCTCATCATCCTCTTCGTCTCAAGAGCATGTCTCTCGGGACCTAACCACACCTCCTCTTGCAGACGGAACCCCTCCAATTAATGCCAATACGAAGAACTTGCTTCTGAACCACATAATTAAAGACCAGCTGGCCTCCAAGTATCTGTACCATGGACAGACCCTGGAGACCCTGGGCGGCAAAAAACTGAGAGTGTTTGTTTATCGTAATGTAAGTTCTGGGTCCTGAATCTTGTTCCTTGTTTGGCTCAGCTCTAAGAAGCGCCCGTTGTACTCGTGTGAAACAGACAAACAGAAAAGTCCTCAATAAGCAGGAGCTTGTATGATAAGGAGGGAAATAATTTCTGGGAAGTCTATATGATATTGAAATGAGATCTTGCAGAAGGATTAGAATCTCTTTTCCTGGAGGCCTTAGAGAATAAGCCACACACCTGTCTGACCTGGATTGTTAAGCAGTAAGCCCACCTTGAACTCAGGGAGGAACACACGGGAGGAGGGTTTGGAATCCTTCTCAGCTTGTGTGAAGAGAAACCCCCGGAGCTGAAACACAGCCCTCCTTGGCCCGGAAGGTCTCTTCTGTCTTCTCCTATCTCTTTGGCTTCAAACCTGACATTACTCTGGAATATCACACAGGAACTAAAACTCAACACCGCTCTTTCCTGGGAGCAACCGGCGCCATTTGGCTAAAGATGGTTGTCATCTGTTAAATAAATAAGTAGATGGGCTCAGTCTACTTATTTGCTTGTGGTCAGTGGACCTCAGGTGTAACTGCTATTCTCATTTGGGGATCTCTGTGTAACTCTATTGGGGCCTCTATGGCCATGCTTTCCTCAAAGATGACCATTTTTATTGTTTTATTTCCTGGAGAAAAATATTAGGACATCATTTTATCCCAGTCTCAATTCCCCACCCCACCATGTGTTCATTGCTCTTTGTGGACGAAGCCGTCAGCACGTGCCCTGAACAGATCAGGAGGCCCTCCTGGGAGGCTGACTCCCTCTCTCTCCCGCCCCTCTGCGCAGAGCCTGTGCATCGAGAACAGCTGCATCGCTGCCCACGACAAGAGGGGGCGCTACGGGACCCTGTTCACCATGGACCGGGTGCTGACTCCCCCCATGGGGACCGTCATGGATGTCCTGAAGGGGGACAGTCGTTTTAGGTAACTAGTCCCACCCCAGGGTGGGGCTTCTGCCGGGCAGTCGTGCCGGGCAGGACGTTGGGCCTCAGCTATGTGTCCAGCTCCCCACCGTCTCGGGGTTCAGTGAGCACTACTGCACACTGGTGTCACCTTCCAGGTGTGGGCAGAGGATGAGGGTCACCTTGAAAGCCTGAGCTAGGAAGAAGGGTTACTGCTAGGAGTGTGACCCTCCCATGCACGGGAAGCAGGGCGGGCTGCATTTTTGTTATTGAAGGGCGAGGAAAACCTCACTCTCTCGTCAAGTCCCAAGTGAGCTGAGAGCAGCTGACTTGGAGGATGTGACGAGCGTCTCGCTCTCTGGCAGTACCTACTCATGGCAACTGAAGCCCTCAGTCAGCACCCTCGCTTGCCTGCTCGCTCCGTCTCTGACGTGCTCATTCACCTCTGGGCGCCGTCACGTTGAGTGTCTCCCTGTCACTGGCTTCAGCCGCCTGCCTGGGCTGGGAGACCACGTGCCGGTGCCCCCCAGGAACCATGTCCCCAGGCCCGGTGGCGCAGCCAGTCTCTGGGTCAGCCTTGCCTCTGCGCTTTCCGCTCCTTCCTTCCCCTCCGGCCTCTGACTTCTGGCCATTTAGCTGACCTTAGCATTCACGCCTGGCGGGGAGAGGACTGGCATCGTTCCCCCTTTGTGCGTAGGGAGCCTGAAAACCAAGCGGCGCGCGCTGCAGGGGTCTGGCTCTGCTCCGCCGGGGAGAGGGACTTGAGGAAGACGCCTCCTTGCCCTCCAGGCAGGTGACGTGTTCTGTGTGTGCATCCACAGCACGCTGGTCGCCGCCATCCAGTCTGCGGGGCTGACGGAGACCCTCAACCGAGAAGGGGTCTACACAGTCTTTGCCCCCACAAATGAAGCCTTCCAAGCCATGCCACCAGGAGAACTGAACAAACTGTTGGGTAAAGATCCACTTAAGAACATGTTTCTACTTTTCTGAAGTAACATAACATTCCGTCGGGGTTCCGGCAGGAAACAGCTGGCACGTTACAAAGGGGTTGACTCAAAGGGATTTAATGACAAGGCTATTTGTAGAAGTGTGGGCAGGATGAAGGGAACCCGCAAGGGAGGTGACACGCAGGCAGTGGCAGCCGTGGAAGCCTTGACCACCCCAGGCCGTGGGCTGAGAGGGCAGGAACCAGGGAGGGCCGAGCCCTGGACAGGACACAGAACAGAGGCAGGCGCCATGTGCAGCCACTGTCAGAACCATGCTCAGGGGACACTGAGTGTCCCAGCCCCCGCTTCCTCCCACACGACAGTGGCCTACTGGGCCCCCGTCAGCGGATTGCAGAGGGGCAAGGACAGCTGGATGACGTAGCTCATAGAGGGTCGCCTCCTGGGCTGCAGGCCAGGCAGAGAAGAAAGGAACCGAGGGTGGAAACGACCAGCCCGTTCGCTGAGGCGTGTTTTCCACTGGAGACCTGGGAGAACAGCGATAATGAAGCCGTTTACCTGCGTTAAATGTCCCTGGGGATGAAAGCTTTCCCTGAGACTCTCGTTGGGACTGTCTGGGAGGCAGCCTAGGGGTTGAGAGACATGAGGAAGGCGAGGCTTCCTTGCTCGCGGTGTTGTGAGGATCCGGAGGCTGGTGCTCGAACGACAAGAGCCCTGACGGCAGGAGGCGGGCGGGAGGCGCAGTGGCTGCTCTGATGCGTCCCTGCGAGAGGCACCCACTGCCCCGCCAAGGTTGTCTGAGCGGGAGGAGGAAGGACCTTGGCCAAGCCTCGGGGCCCCTGTCGCCCCCCTCTTCCAGCTCTGGCACAGGAGACTAGAACGTTCGGATTGCGGGCAACTCCGAGGCGAACGCTTGTCCTGTTTAATTTTCTTTATTGCTAAATGAATGCCCGTGTGCGTGACGCTGATGTAGGCTCCTGAGGGAGAAGTTCGCACTGAACGTAAACTTTCCGTCCTCTCTGTCCAGCCAGAATGGAATATCCCCCAGGTGGCCTGAGCCTGCTCGGCTTCCTGTTCATTTTTAATTGTGCGGGAGCAGAGGAAGGGCACGAGGAAAGCCTCCCACACACGCCTTCCCGCGGGCCCGCAGGGAAGGCCCGTCGGGGAGGGAGGGGGTCCAGGAGTTGGAGATCTAGCAAGACGGTGGCCCCTTGAGCCCCGGGGGCTAGCTTAGCTCTGCACCTCCGGGCAGTATTTCTGTGGAAGGGGAACTTTGTCGGCTCCAGGTTATGGATGTTTGGAATCACTTGGTACCCGGTGGCTCCTCGCCTGGCACTAATGTGGAATTTGCCCATAACCACCAAACTCCCCAAAATGCTTTAAACCTTCCTCCATTCTCAGTGTCAAGGTGCTGGAAATTGCCATCCAGAAGCCCTGGGGAAATTCAGCCATTTGGTGGGTGATGGGAGTATCAGAGATGAGAGAGCAGCTGGAAACGTTAGGAATTGCCTCCCACACTTAATTTGGGAAATGCCTGTGCACCTTTATGGGCAAGCAGATGCCTTGCGCAGTCGCCAGAGACACTGATGTGGGCTGGAAGGAATGCTGAGCCGTGCCTGGGAGGGACCCTGCGGAGGGAACACCCCCTCGGCCCTGACCTCATCGGCTCCGTGGCTCCTCCACCGTGCAGCTGTCGACTCTTTTAAGTTCTCCTTTCAGGAAACAGCCGTCTCCAGCAGAATATGCATTTGAGGGCAGAATGTGTAAATATTGCACTACTGTGTTATAACCGGCGGGAGCCACACTGATGATGAAATGTCCCAGATGCCGGTGCTGGAAAGGTCCCTGGCTTTCCAAGCAAATATTTAGCTCATGGAAACATGAGTCATGCTCACAGAGGAGTATGGATTAACTCCTTCTCGCAGCCAGGGAGCCCAGCAGCCCGCCGACTGCAGGGGCAGATTTGTGGCCGGGGCCATGTGCCTTGTGTCCACCGACCCACAGATGGTGGGTCACAGAGCTACACACATAGTGGGTGTTCCATGAGTGCTCATTACCTGGGCAGGGAGTTCCCCATCTCAGGGGTGACTACTTGCATCTTCTCCTCTGGGCCCTCCTTGACCATGCTCATTACCAACCTTGGGATTAACTCTCGCCCCTTTTCCCACACACCTGCAGGAAATGCCAAGGAACTTGCCAACATCCTGAAATACCACGTTGGCGATGAAATCCTGGTCAGTGGAGGCATTGGGGCCCTGGTGCGGCTGAAGTCTCTCCAAGGTGACAAGCTGGAAGTCAGCTCGGTGAGTGTGCCTGCCACCAGGGGTCCAGGGCACAGCTCACAGCATTAGACACAAACACAGCCTTTAAGATGTGTCCTGAATCTCTGAGTACAAGTTGTCCAAAGAAAGAGAGAAAAGAGAAAATAGGGTCTTCGGGGAAATCAAGTGAGATTGTAATTAGACATGAGTAAGAACTTCCAGATTTGCACGGAACAGAGCATCTGATTTGCCATCTGGGACAGGCTAGTAGATCTTCCTTCTCTCAAGGAGATGGTAGACAATTACTTATGCGGCTTGAGAGATCAATGCCCTATCCTCAGCCTACCCCCAAACCCAGGAGTTCCCTGAGCCACGCCGTGAAGCAGACCCTCGCCAGCGGCTGTTTCGGGTCTGCTGCTTGCTCTGTGCACCGTCCCTTGCTCCACGCATCAAAGATACTCGTTCCATGCTGGAGCTGTGATCAAAGCATCCGTACCTTGGAGGCAGAGAACAAACAGCTTGCCCAGCGCCACGAACCTCTGCTGCGCTGGCTGAGGCCTCTGACCTCCCTTTGGAGGTCAGTGTGGCGCCTCTGTTCCTCTCTCCTCACCTCCAGCCATCCTGTGCTCAGATTCCTCTCGGGAGCATGGGAGTGACTTGTTTGACTTTAGCAGGTCATCCGAAATCTCCCAGCATCTGGTTTCAGGGGCTGGGGTCCTGTTTGTCACAGGCTTCGGTGCCTGCTTCCCCCTGTGTCTGTCGCATGGGCCCTTCAGGAAGGCTCGAGGCAGTTTTACCCTGGGCCTCCTGTGGGAACATCTGGAGTAGGACGTCCAGGTACAGCGGAAGGAGCTGGGGGCCTGTTCCCGGCTGTCCAGTCTCCTTAGCTTACAGGAGACACTTTCCCTCTCCTGAGTCTCAGCTTCCTCTTCTGGTAAACGGGACAATGATATCTACCCTCCTTGCCACATGCGGCTGTGAGGACTGAGTGGGTCACACAAAAGAGCGTGACGGCAGTGGCAGTGTGCCGCATCCACACGGGGGGTTAGAATGAGTCCCCCAGACCGAAGGTCATTCACAAAGTCCCCCCGATACTCCCGCAGGACCTGGCGTACGTAAGTGTTCAGGAAACACTTGCCGAATCCATAAAATACATATTTTTGACATTCAACAGCCACTGTCTATTTTTCTCTTAGAAAAACAACGTGGTGAATGTCAACAAGGAGCCCGTGACCGAAGCCGACATCATGGCCACGAACGGCGTGGTCCACGCCATCACCAGCGTCCTGCAGCCGCCAGGTACGCCCGAGTGTCCCCTCCCCGCTGACCGTGCAGCTGGTCCTTCTCAGTAGAAAAACTGAGCTAAACGACATGTCATCGCGATGGTCACCCTCCACCTGCGTGGATGGCATCCCTGTGGCTGATGGCAGAGCCATCTGGGAATGGCTGGTTTCGGATGCAACGCGATAAGGAAAGCGAGGACATGCTGCTCTCTGCAGCAGTGCCCGGCTGTCCCGGCTCCCCTCACACAGCCCCATTGTCACCGTCATGTACATGTGGACGCTGGTCACGTGGGTCCCGGCACTGCTCTGTAGCCTCTCGCCTTGTGTGCGCCCTCCGCCTCCGGTACCCTTGAACTTCAGCCCCGCCTCTCTCCTCACCTGTGCATTCACCCTTCTCGGAGCGCTCCCATGGGCCAGATGCCACCATGAGCTATGACAAGCTGTAGAGGAAAAATGTATTTGAAATGCCAGCTGGAAAGCCCACCAGTGCCGCTCAACAGCACGCTACGAATGACGTGCTAATGGCTTCTCTCCCTTACTAAGGCCGCCTTTTCTTTCCTCTCCAGCCAACAAACCTCAGGAACGAGGGGATGAACTTGCAGACTCCGCGCTTGAGATCTTCAGACAGGCCTCGGCGTTCTCCAGGGTGAGTTACCTGCGAGGGTCGCGCCTCAGCTGAGCAGCTTTGGGCCTCTGCAGGCCTTTCCAGCCCCTGTCTCCCTTGGCTTCCCCGCGCCCCCGGCTCTCTCAAACTTCTCCCCACTCCCACCGGGGCTCCTCAGCCCCAGCCTGTGTCAAATTCAGAGAAAGGAACCCAGGCAGCTGCAGCGTCCTCTGTGGGCCGAAGCCCAGGCCTTCACACGGAGGCCTCGGAGCTCCGGGTCTCGGGGAAGCCACTGCTGGTGAGAAGAGCTACAGCTCTGGAATCCGCCTCTCCGAGTTTGTCTCACGGGGGCCTGGCCTGCCCTGAGCCCGGCCTCCGAGTCGCTGGTCTGCGTTCCATGGCACTGCCCATCCTGGGAGATGCTGGGCTCTCCTGGGCAGTGTGTGGCCTGGGTACAGGGACACTGAGCCAGCTGTGGGTGTGGGGCCTTAGCCCCACCTGCCTCTCAGAACCTCCCCAACTCCTTCTGAGCTTCCTCTCCTGCCCCCGAGCTTGCCCGGGCCGGGAGTACCCCTCGGGCTCCTTCGCTGCTTTGGGTCGGGTGGAGCTTGTTGGGAATGCGGACGCCTTACAGAAGGCTTGCATTTCAAGAGAAGAGGCTGCAGGGTGCGGCTCTGAACCCAGGGGCCTGGAGCTCTGACATGTCATTTCACTTTTGAACAGAGGCGTCTCCGTAGCGCCCTCAAGGAGGGATCTTGGCCCTGAGCTCCTGCTCCTCAGAGCCAGCCCTGTGCAGCCCCAGCCTCCCCCGACGCCAGGCTCTGGTCTCCGTGGGAGAGGCTGCTTGGGGGTCTCTCAGCAATGTCTTAGGGGCTTACACGCCTCCCTGGGGCCCATCAGTTCCACTTTCCCCTTCCCCTTCCTCTCCCAGCCTTTTTTCTGAGTAGGGGTGGCAATGGGAAAAGCCATTGCCATAAGTAGGTGCAAGTATAATTTTCACTAGAAAACCTGACACCTTGTGTTTTCTTTCAGGCTTCCCAGAGGTCCGTGCGACTAGGTAAGTCGGGCTGGGTTTGAAGTCCTCGCAGACCTGTTTGCGCCGTCCCCCCAGCAGGCCCAAGCCTGCCCTCTGCTGTATGCAGAAGAGAACATCGTGGTGCAGGGAAACAAGCCTGGCCTTTGGGGTCAGTCCAGCGGGGTGAATTGGGGTCAGACCCAGAACACCCAATTTCCTTCTCCGTGAGATGGAGATAATAAGAGTAATGACCTTTTAGGGTTGATGAGAGCTTTGGGCTTTAAGAGCCTGGGAATACTGCACAGGGGCTTGGCAGGAGCCCATGGTGAGGACGTGATTCCAAGCTGGTAGATGTAGAAAACCCCAGAACATCAGGCACTGAGTAAGATGTGACGTTTCACAAACCAAAAACCACCATCTGTGTGCAAGAGCGCTCGGCCCCTGCCCCCAGGATTCTGGCAGCGTCCTAGACAGACAGGAAGTCTGCCTCTCCTTTACCTTCCAAACTTCTCTTTTCCAGCCCCCGTCTATCAGATGTTACTGGAGAGGATGAAGCATTAGCACGAAGGACCGCCGCAGTAATGCACCTCGGCAGCTCCCCGCCAGTTTCTCTCAGTTTGCCAAAGAGACTGCCTGAATGTTTCTGAAACCAGATACCACACTTCAATGTGCCTGGGCCAAACCATAACGAGATCCGAGCCTCGGGCGGGTCAGGGAGGAGGGAAAGAGATGTACTTTTTTATTTTTTCTTCTCCCTAAACATGGCTGTTAACCCACTGCATGCAGAAACTTGGATGTCACTGCCTGACATTCACTTCCAGAGAGTCCCTGCCCCCAACATGGAATTTCCTGCCTATGCCAAGTGCCTGAAAAAGGGGGCTGCAGGGTTGTGGGGCTCAGAAGACATGAATCAAGCAATGCAGCGTTACGGGAAGTCCTGGCCTGGTTTTCGTAAAGCTCTTGCACAGCTGGAGAAATGGCATCATTATAAGCTGAGTTGAACTGTTCTGTCAAACTGTTCTGTCAAAGGGGTCTCACATCTACATGTGGCTTGGACGCTTCTATGGGGCCCTGTCCAGGTAGAAAAGAAATGGTATGTAGAGCATATAGAGTGCAGATTTCTCAAGTGTGACGGCGCCATGGTGTGTTTGTAATAATAAAACCAAAGAAATGTATGCCCCACGTGCATGGTACGGTGTGCTGGCCTGGGCGTTCGGGGGGGATGGGTCTCTGTTCCTCAGGAGCTGCCACGCTCCTTCATGCCTCAGTTCCACGCAGGAGCAGCTCGGCAAGGAGCCGCACGGGCGGGGCTTTGGGCGATTCCAGCAGTGGGCCCTCAGACACCCAGACGGCACGTGGGGGCTGAACTAAGTCTTTTCTGAACTCCTTTGCATTTCACCCTTCACCAGTCCTGGGAGTTCCAGTCCTTGGTGTTCGCTTCACACAGCACTTCACTCCCTAATCTCTCTGAAGCATCTGCCCCCCAGCACGGTGGCCCCCTGCCTTTGTGTTGGCCTTCTGAACCCTCAGTACCACCCTGCGAAGTGGTCGCCAGCACAGTCCCATTATACAGATGAGGAGACTGAGGCTCCAGAAAGGGAGAACCACTGGTAATACAGAAAATGAATGAGCTGGGACAGGAACCCAAGTCTCCTGACTGCCAGGGACCCCCATGTGACAAGAGAGCAAGTTCAGGTTTTCTAGGCCGGGCCCCTCTGTGACAACCCATGTTCGAATCCCTTCCCTGCTCCTTCAATCTCCACCTTCCAGAATGTCCTCGGCACTGACAGGCAGGATCACGTGGCTGTGGTGTCACTGCTCCCTACCTGTGTGGCCTTGGGCCCGTCATGTGACCCCTCAGGGTCTCCTCCTCTGTAACAGGGAAATGACCGTCACATCTGCGGGCCCGCCATGAGGAAGAGATCGGATGAGCCGTGTGAAAAGCCTGCGCGACGTTAGGAGGCCTCCCTGGTGCGGTGCCGCGCAGGACTGCTCAGGCTCCGTGCAGCCGCGAGCCCTCGTGCCCGTCCTTCCCAAAGGAGCACGGGGCAGATGCCTCACCTGCCCACAGTCCCTCTGCACGGCTGATTCACTCCGGCAGGAGCTCGGTCCGCTTCCAGGACCCAAGGACCCAAAGACGTGTCTGCAGCACTGCTGCTGGTCGGCCCGCCACTGCTGGGAACAGAGAGAGCAATGGTGGAGGCAGAGTCCCTTCCTTAAACAGCTCCCAGTCTGTGGAAAGACAGACATGACATCAATCCATTAAAATCATTCGTTCCGCAAATATCTGTAAGGGTCACCTATGTGCACCCCCACATTAGGCCCTGGGGAACAAACGTGTCCTTGTTCCCATGAGGCTTCCCTACCGATGGGGAAGAGAGTCGTCGGCTGATGGCACTGCGGACTGTGCATCCGTGGGGACGCAAGGACGGCCTGTGGTTCTGCGGCAAATGAAGGAAGCAGAGGGAGGGGCACCCGGGAGCTCCCAGAGTCGGGGGAGAGGAGAGAAATGGAAGGGACTCACCGGGAGGGAAGGTGTCCCGAAAGGTGAGGCTCAGCCTTCTGCGTGCACCTGGTCCCGTGACTCCCACGGCTCTGTCCTGCTCGCCCACCTCCCGGGCTCGGGCTGCCAGTGCTGGCCTCGCCGGGCTGGGTGTCCTGCAGCTGTACCTCGCTCTGAGCACCCGGAATACACGCACCTGGGCTTTCCCGTGACGCCATCGGAACTCGAAGAGATGATTAGTGTAACTTTTAAGGATCCTTAAGTTTAAAATAAAAACCACCACAAAACCCCTTATAAATGCCAAATGCTAAAATGTGTGTTTAGGGCTCTTCCCACTTCTCCCCTCTGCTTGTCCCTGCCACCTTCAACCTGCCCTTGCCCAGCCCCCCAATAAGGGGGGACTTCACTCCGCTCTCTGAACTCTGCCCGGAGAGTCCCCCTGTGGCTAAGAACCATGCACACCCTTCCCCGCCCAGCCAAAGAGGGTCAAGTTCCCTTTCTTAGGTGCTAAACGTCCACACCCTTCTGTTTCTCATGGAGACTAAGGCTGGGCGCTCATCGGGGGTCACCTGGAGGATGGGCCCCTAGGGCTCAGGGGTCAGCCAGGGTGCTTCTGGGGCTGGGTGACTGGGGGAGGGAGGTGTGTGCTGTCCCCTGCTCCACCCCATCAGAAGGCCAGAGGGCAGCCGGAGGAGGTGGCCCAGGCCTCAGCTGAGGAAGTGGAAGGGGAGGGAGAGGGGAGCGGGCTCTGGCCCACTTCTCTCTCTGCTGTTGCTCTGGGATTGCAAGGCCTTCTGGGATATAAAGAGGACTGCACAGACCCTCAGCACGGGGCCCAGAGACCTTGCAGGACGGGGTGTGCCTTCCCCACGCAGGAGGCAGGGCTGCCTAAGCCTGGCCTCATTGGGCGGCTGTGAGGCCAGCTCAGCTAAGCAGCCAGAGAGGCCCACTGCACTGGGCTATGCACCTGTGTGCATTTTCTTATCTATTCCTTTCACCAGGGCTGTAAATGGGTGAGGACTGTTAGAATTCTCACGTCACTGCGGCAGCAATGAAAGCTTAAAGAGGTAAGGTGGTTTGCCAGGTCACAGAATAGGAAGAGGCTGGAACACAAACCTGGCCCATTTGTCTCTGGAGCTCACACTCTGAACTGCTGCCCCCTCTGCCCAACCACCCCGGGTCCAGTGAGGTGAGCGCAGGCAGCCCCAGGCAGGCAGAGGTAGGTGCCAGCCTGGCCAGAAAGGGCTCAACCCCCAGCCCTCCTGAGAAGCCCCTGCAGGCTTGATCTCTGCTTGCCCCACCTAGACCACAACTCGGGAGAGCGCCCGTTACAACCAGGGATGCCCAGCCCCATCAGGAAAGAAGAGAGAGGAAAACATGCCTCTGTGCTTGAAACCATAATCCACTGTTATGCTCAAAGCGCAGCTGCCTGGAATATGGTGCTCAGAATTCTTTGCAAAGCCAGGAGAAAAAGCCATGGAATGAGGGATGGGCCGGTGCCTCGTCCAGAGAAGTCAAATGGGGCCGCCTTTGGCCGTCCCTTCCTGGCAAGGAAAGAAACACATCCACCCCAGAGAGCCAGAGAGGCCGTCCAGAAACTAAGCGGTAGGAGGCAGGAGTCTGGGAAAACCTGCTACACACACGCACGCACACGCACGCACACCCACCCACGCACGGGTGGGGCGGGGACTCCGGGACCTGGGGGAGGAAGGCCACAGCCTGCGCTCTGGCCTCAGGCCTGCTGGCAGAGGCCCCAAAGCCATCTGCACCCTGCCAGCTGGGCAATCCTGCCAGGCCCTGCCATCGTGGCCTCGCCACTGGTAGGGGAGGAGGAGGAGTTTACCGGGACCTGAAAGGAGGAGGAGGCGGGGAGGGGAATGCATGCGGGGCCTGGAGAACAGTGCTCGAGGTCTCTTCGGCAAATGTGAGAGGCTTTTGTGTGGCTACCGGGGATAGGGGAGAGAAAGTTCCTCCGGTGAGAGGTCTGGGAGCCAGACTGTGCTGGGCCTTGTGGGCTGTACTAAGAATTTTAGACGTAATCCTTAGGACAATGAAAGCCCCTAGAGGGTTTCAGTTGGGAGAGGGAGATGGAGAGGCGTGTGCCACGATCAGATTTTTTTTATTGTAATAAAATGTATATGGCATCCAATTTACCGTTTCGGCCATTTTAAGTGTGTAGTTCAGTGGTATTGAGGACATTCACATTGTTGTGCAACCAACCATCTTGCCAAACTGAAACTCTGTACCCATTAAACACTAACCCCCCGCGCCCCTCCACCCAGCCCTTGACAACCTCTACTCTACCTTCCATCTTGAGGTGCCTCGTGTCAGTAAAATCAAATAGTATTTGTTCTTTGTGACTGGCTTATGTCACTAGGCATAATGTCTTCAAAGTTCATCCACGTTGTCACATATTGCAGGATTGCTTTCCTCTTTAAGGCTGAATAGTACACCATTGTATATACATACACACACCACTCATTTTGTCCATCCACTCGTCCTCTGATGGACAGCAGACTTGCTTCCCCTTCTGGCTATTGCGAATAATGCTGCTAGGAACGTAGGTTTACCCACATCTGTTTGAGTGTCTGCTGTAAATTCTTTTGGTTAGACCCAAAAGTGGAATTGATAAATCCTATGGCAATTCTATTTTTAATTTTTTGAGGAACTGTCATACTGTTTTTCGTAACGGCTGCACCATTTGACATTCCCACCAACAGTGCAGAGGGTTTTCAGTTACTCCACATCCTCACCGACACTTGTTATTTCCTGGTTTTTGATAATTGCAATCCTATTGGGGGTGAGGTGATATCTCTTTGTGGTTTTGATTTTGTTTTGTTCCCTAATGATTAGTGATACTGAGCATATTTTCATGCATTTATCAGCTATTTGCATATCTCCTTTGGAAAAATGTTTATTCCATTCCTTTGCCCATTTTTAAATTAGGTTCCTTGGTTTTTGGTTGTTGTCGAACTTTGGGAGTTCTTTACATACTCTGAATATTGAACCTCATCAGATATATGCTTTGCAAATATTTTCTCCCATTCTGTGGGTTGCCTTTTTACTCTGTTAATAGTATCCTTTGATGTATGAAACTGTTTCATTTTGATGAAGTCTAATTTATTTTTTTTCTTTTGTTGCCTGTACTTTTGGTGTCATGTCCAAGAAATCACTGCTAAATCCAATGTCATGAAGTGTTTCTCCTATGTTTTCTTCTAAGAGTTTTAGCTCTTAAATTTAGGTCTTTGATCCATTTTCAGTTAATTTTTGTACATGAAGTAAGGTAAGGGTGCAACTACCTCTTTTTAATGTAGATATCCAGTTTTCTCAGCACCATTTGCTAAAAAGACTGTCCTTTCCCCACTGAATGGCTTTGGCACCCTTGAAAATCATATAACCATATAGGCAAGAGTTTATTTCTGGGCTCTGTCTTCTACTGCATTGGTCTACATGTCAGCATTGATGCCAGTACCATACTGTTTTGATTATTGTAGTCTTGTAGTAAGTTTTATAATTAGGAAGTATGAGTCCTCCAACTTTGTTCTTCTTTTTCAAGATTGTTTTGGCTATTTGGGGTCCCTTGAAATTTTGTATAAATTTTAGGGTGGTCTTTAGAAGTAAGCATCATATAAAAATTTTAGGGTGGATTTCTTCTATTTCTGCAAAAA